GCCCCGAGTGGGGGCGGGAGGAGGAGGAGGAGGAGGCCGCGAGAGCCGTCCCGGCGGGGAGGGACGGCGGCTCCGTGCCCTCTCCGGGCTCCCCGCCGCTGGCTTCGGAGCCGCTTCGCGCAGAGGCGCTTCCGGCGGTGCTGCTACCCGCAGGGCATCGTGCTGCGTAGGCCACGCTGCTGGGAGGTAACCGGGCCCCACTCTGCGTGCCCTGTGCCCAACCGCGGCCAAAACTTGTTGAAAATTATGCCCTAAAAATCTTGCTCTGAAAATAGAGCAAAGAGAGAGAGAGAGAGAGATTGCGCAGCGATTTCTATTATCTCCCCCACCCTGTGGGGAAGGGTTGGTGTCAGCTCTTACTCCTCAGGCAGGTAGTTTTTTAGATGGGAAAAACTTATTCTGGATTGCGGTTAATTATCGTTAATTATCCGTGTAGGAGAACTAGAATTCAGACTGCCTGTCCTGCCGCCTCCCTCAGGAGAGACTGATTTCTAGACCAGGTAACAGCCCCCCTGCTTGGATCCTTTCTAATTTTCGCTGATGCCCCGCCTCCTTTCCCTTCCTTTAATGTGTCTTGATTGTGTTGACCTGCGGGGATTTTGTGTTTTCATTCTGTAACGCTGTTTTTCTCTCTCTGCCTGTCTCTGTCTTGCTTTAAAAGTTGTAGAGAGGATATCTGAAGAAGAAAAATTACCTATTCTAGATGTTTAGCAACCTAAGAGCAGCTCCCCAGGCTGACTTGGGGACGGCTGCAGTTTCTGCGTATTAGTATTAGCGTCAGTCAGCCTGTGGCGGTGGGGGCTTGTGACATTAGCAGTAAGGATCAGTGAGCCGTTGTGGGGGTGGAAAATGAAAAACTTTATCCAGGTCCCTTAGCACTGTACTGGTGCCATGGAAAATGTACTTCTGCACGTAACTGTATTTTAATGCTGCAAAATAGCACAGATGAAGGCAAATGTTTAAAGAAAAGATAATAAATTGTATCTTAAAAAGTGAGAGGAAGCGCCAAAGATTTGAAAGGCTAGGCCTGTGGGTTGATAAAGGATACAGTCAGGACCTCAGCCCATAACCATGACATTGAGCCCATAAGCAAGACACAGACATAACAGAGTCATTGATGTATCACTTGTTTCCTTTGGACTCACACGTCTTGATGAGCGAAAAAACAGCTCTGACTGAGAGGCCTATTATATCTCATTCTTCCTGACATTGTTGATGGATTCGGTGACAATGAATATTTATTGCATGTCCAGGTACTGTGTGCCAGACAGTGTGGAGGTAGTAATTAACGGACAAGACAGACATGGCTCTGCCCCCAAGGGGCTTATTGAGTGGTGGGGAGGGGGTATAGTAAACAGTAAATAAGTCATCCAATAAAATAATTCAAAGGCAATTCAACAAGAGCTGAAAAGAGAAGTGGGAAGAACTGGAGTGAATCATTTTGCTAGAATCAGAAAAGCATATGAAAGATCGCAACGTGAGGAAGGGATTGATCCTGTCTACGCCTAAAAGAACGATGCGGTGGCCAGGGATTCAGGAAGCAAGGGATAGAGGAAGATGGTAGGTGAACAGAGCCTAGCGCATCCAGGGCCTTGTAGTCACGGTCAGGAACTTGGCTGTGATCCCGACTATAAGAAAGCATTGATTTTAAGGAAAGGAGACACATTTAATAATCATGACATTTAAAGCAACCTTAGTTGCTCTGCGGAGAATGCTTTGGAATAGGGCAAAGGGAACAATAGGCTGACCTTGTAGAAAATGTTGGCAAGATGGGTAAGATTCTACATGACTATACTTCAGCTACTTGAGAGGCTGAGGCAGGAAAATTGTTGGCGCTCAGGAGTTTGAGACCAGCCTGGGCAATGTGCAGCCTTCTTTAGCAGCCTTCACCAGGTTGGATACAGAAAATGGATAGGTGATTTCTTCCAGAACTAAAGGTTTGCCAAGTGGCTAGGGTGGAGAGTAAGAGAGTTGAAGATCTTTTTGGCAAGACACTGTCTCAAAAACACAGAGTTTGCAGAGTTCGGGTGAAAAAATAAACGCCTGCACTAGGCTGGTGTCATTCTGAAGACCAGATGTTGGTGTTGAATTTGATGTCAAGGGTGCAGGGAAGCAAGGACTAAGGAATGACTCAGATATCTGACTTGATCTGGGTGAATAATGGTAAGAACAATTCTGGGGTGAATGGGAGCAGATCCAGGTGGAGAAAGAGTTTGGTTTTGAACCTATTAAGTTTGTCATTGAGCAAGGACAGACCATAGCCCTTTGGGAGGGAGAAAGGGATAGTCTCCAAGACAGAAGTGCGTGGACGAGCCTTCAATAAGTAAAGCTGGTGACTGTGAATTTAAGGTGAAACTCATCAACTCAATTGTCTGATTTTTCTTTAGCAACCAGCTAAAGGGTATATTTTTCTTTAGCACCAGCTTGGGTATAAAAAATGGACAGCTGATTTCTTCCAGAACTAAAGTTTTGCCAAGTGGCTAGGATAGAGAGTAAGAGCGTTGAGGATCTTTTTCTTGTATTTGCATGTATTCACATGTATGTTTCATGTATTCATGTGTATGCTATAAAATTTGCTACACTGAAAGAGAAAGCAGAAGCAAATGCATGGGCGGGGGAAAAGTAATGAGGCCCATCAATCAGTCGCTGTCTAAGTTTATCAGTGTGGATTAAGTAAGATTGTTGGAAGGCTTAGAGGTGGTGCCTGGCCGTATCAGGAAGTGAAGGACTGAAGCAGAGGGGAGGCCAGCATTCGCTGCTTTTGATGAATAAGTCAAGGAAACCAGGGGCCGGAGATTGAATGGTTCATCCTCTGGATTGGTGAAGCCCTGGAGAGAGACTGACACTTGCTGGGGATACAAACAATGATAGTGCGTATCCTGTGAGTCCTTAGTGATGAGGAATAAGCTGAAAGTCAGTAGATGACAGCGGTGGGATGGGACAGAAGACATTATGATGCCAGGAGCCCTGAAAGAGCCCAATGTTTGAAGGAGAGACAAAGAAGGCTCAGATGGGAGCTTACAAAAGGTGCGGCTGCCCCGTCCTGTGGACCTGGAGGAGGACATTTTCTTGATAATCTGCAGGTTGTGAATATCATCAGAATCTCCGAGGACAGCTCCCAGTTACTGCCGTCCAGTACAGTAATTAATGCCCTAGATATTTCTGCCCAAAACAAATTAGGCTGCATTTTTCAAAATTAACTTTGCACAACCGCTGCTGTTCAGCTAGAGGAAGGTCAAAGAATCCTTCTAATCTGAAAACCTTAGGAGGCATGTAGCAGGGTATAATAGAATTCTCCTACCCGGATAATCAACTCTCAGATATTAAAAGGCATACAGAAAGTCAGATGTCCAACCAAGAAAACTGTGACCTTGAAATTTCAAGGAACTCATGCATTAATTAAAACGCTTTTAGATGGAGTTCCTATAATTGAAGTGCTAAATATAAGGTGGGGCTGTCGTGTTATTATATGGCTAGAAGCAAAAGAATTTTAGTGTTAGAAAGGGCTGTGGAGTCACGAACAGCCTCTTTATTTTCCATTAAGGAAACAGATGTGAAGACAGAGAATCAAGGTGATTTCTACTCTATCCTTTCACCTCAACACCTCCAAACAAAACTTTCTATAAATGACAGTTTTATCAGCTATTTAATACAGATTATCTGTGAATAACATTGAATGAAAATACAGGTGAACTCTGGGTATTTTTAGTTAAAGTGCAGCACTTTGGTCAGCACTGCAAATGTCACATAGGAGCTATGAGAATTGCAGAATTTAGCCTTGGCCTAGACCTGGGCCATTCCTGAATGTACACTTTAACTAGATCGCCCGGCCGTCACAGTTGCGTTAGAGTTTGACCGGCGCTAGCGTAGACCCAGTCAGTCCACTTGGAAACTCTGGCCTGCTCACATCAGCAAGACTGTGATGCCTGGAGAACTGAGGCGCCCCTTTTAAGAGAAAGGAGACACTGTCGTCAGAACATTCCCAATTTTTATTGTTATGAAGCAATAGGAACCAAGTATGCTGAGCAGGGAGATGACACATTTCAGGAATGGCATTACTGCCTTTGCCAGAAAGTGAAGAGGGGAAATTGCAAAAGAGTGAGTGGCTCTTCTGATGCTGTCTCTGCCTGAGCAGCAGAGGGAAATGGACTGCATGCATATTCCTCAGCTTCCTGTATTCCAGGGAATACAGGGAATACCACTGAGAGTATGTTTTCATGTTACAAACAATGAAAATGGACACAGCCAGAGTCAAAATCCACATTGTTGTCTCCAAGTAGCAAAATACATAGTAGCTTGAATCTTAAATCTTCTAGTAGTGCTGTTTTCAATCTTGAGTGTATACTCGTCACACCTGATGATCTCTTTTTTAAAAATCCTGATGTCCAGGTAGAACCCCAGACCAATTACATAAAAACTGGGACGGCAGGAGTGACATGACCAGGGATCATCTGTGTTTTAAATCCCCCTAGGTCACTCCATTGTGCCAACAGAGAAGGAACTACTGCTTTAGGAGCTCACTTGAGGCCCTTGTGAGAAGAGGCAGCTCTGAGAATAGTTTTGCCTTTAAGCCTACCAAAGCAGTGGGACCCTTCATGACTACTGGGGCCCCAAGCCAAGGGTGATAAAACTCAGGTCACAGTGCCAGGCAGTGAGGTTTTCAGAACACTAAAGGAGTAGGATTTTTTTTAAGAGGAGTTTACCTGTGGCCAGTTTTTTAAAAATTGTTATGAACAGTTAACTGTTGAGAAAATTGGTTGCATAACTATAACTGAACGTCATGAATTCGCATATATAAAGTGGATAAAATTTTACGTGTAACGTACACTTCAATAAAATTGTTTTCTTTTCAAGTTCTGTGTATGCTTCAGCCTTCAGAATTATGTCATGTTGACTCGATAGCCAGGAAGCCAGTGCCTGTTTTGTGTCATTATAGCATCAGCACCTAGCCAAACACCTGGTACATAGGGCTGAGTCAGATGTTAGGTAGGTGAATGGAGATGAATGGGTAGAGGGAGGGACAGATGGACGGACAGATGGATGGATGGATGATCATTACCATCTTTGGTGGTGGACTGACTCTTAGATCGGTGGCAATCACCAGAGATACAGAACCTACAGCTGATGGCACTCAGTAGACGTCGGTACTTTTGTAATCACAGATATGGTTTTTTTGTTTGTTTTTTTTGTTTTTTTGTTTTTCTCCGGTACCGGGAACCAAACTCACGACCTTGCGCTTGCCAGGCAGGCGCTTTTGCCGCTGAGCTAAATCCCCAGCCCCTGTAATCACAGATATGTGTAGCCTGTTAAGTAGCAAGGCATTTAAACTAGGAATGAGTTTGCAGAGAGGCTAGAATGCTATACTGTTTATTTACAGGTGAATTACTACAGCACAGAAAATCCTTCATTTGCTAGCCAATAGTGGTAGGTGCCTTTATCTCAAATTGCTACCTGCAACAGGGTTATCAGATGAGAAAGTTATTTTAGCCGTGACATGCGG